AGGTTTTTTTTAATAGAGATTCGAGTTTAAATCCTCTCTTCATTGAATTGATGGGGAACCTTACTTGTGTCCACATGATTTTACATTTCTTGTCTGAAGAGAAATCTTCCCAAACACCCATATTAAAAAGGAGAGCTGATATTGTGACTGTGCTGAATAAGAGGGGTTAACTTGTAAGTGGAGTAGTTCAAATGTGATTATAGATGGAGGGGGGAGGATGAGGAGTTTATACCACCTTGCCAGCACATTTTAGATGATCGCTGTTTGGTGCTCACTGAGAATCTTACCATGGTTGCCAACACGAAACACTTTTCACAGGTAAGGGAAGCAACCTTACCTGAGTAAAAATTAATGCCAACTTCCTGTGTAATGTCTGAATGTAATACCTCAGGTGGACATGTTTATATGTATTGGAAATTTCTCTTTTATCAATGCTCTTTAACTTCTCTTCTGGTTTTGTACTTGTAATTTAGGAGAGAATATCAATGTGTTGTTTTTAAAGAAAAAACACATTTGTTCCTCAATATAGCAGGCGAAATACCTTGCCTGCACTCATCTTTTTTACTTTGAGTAAAAAAATAATAAATGAGTAAAATAATAATAAATGGCTGGTAAATGTCTTCTGGCTGGAAAATCTCCTTAAGGGGAGAGTTTTTTTCACTTGTATTTTATTTTCATATGGCAATCCACAAAGGGTGAAATCGTTTGTGCAGAGCACAGTTATTTATTTGTCCACTAAATCGCAGCACAACCTTCTGTATCGATTTTAGTTCTGATATCCGTCAAGAGCTATGTGCTCGCAAAATAAGACAATGTGAGCAGGCAGAAAGCATTGCCATCAAACCCCTTTGACAGGCATGAGTAATATTTCCAGCAGTAATGAAGATCCCCGACACTGGGAAGAGTAAGAACTGAGTAGAGATTCTAGTCTATGTGTTATGTAGCTTATTCTGATGCCTCTGAGGAGTTCAGCTTTGCATTTGAATTTCATTTTGTTGGGGAGTCTTCTTTAATTCACAAGAGGAGACAAAAAACTGCTCTGGCAGTCTGCTCTGAACTTGCATGTATTTCTTTGTTCCTGTTGACTAACGAGCTTTATTAAAAGACTGTTTTTCATATTTGCAGTAATACATCTGTGTATTAATGACAACAGGGAAATTGAAGTGCGTGCTTATGTATGCACATTGTCCTGGTTTCAGGTTATATGTATGTATATATGTAGGGATTTACATAAATCCATTGTATTTAAATAAAAAAATAACTTCTCTTCATTCTGTGAAGAGGGTGAAAGAGCTCTGAGACAGATCTCTCTGTAGTCCCATCCTATCCTCCTGTCAAGGTTCATCTTGGGTTTAAAGAGGAAGATGAGAAATAAAATAGCTTTTATTTTAGGTTGCTTTGACTGGAGACACTGTACGTTGTGCACAAACAGGCTGAGAGGAGGATTTGCAGAGGCTCCAGCTGTACAAGAAGTCAGAAGTGATAGAACTGAGATTCTGTCTACCCTGTTATTATCACTTCTGTATATGTGCATTGTGCCAAGCTTTTCAAGAGCTGTGGGGTTTGTTTTTTTCAGTGTTTTTGTTGGTTATGGAGTTCTTTTTTAGGCTACTCAATGTTCTTATCCTTTGGGTTTGAAATAATGTTTTTTAATATGCAGAGTTGATGTAAGTCTGCAAATTGAGCTGTAGAAATCAAGCAGGGAGCAGTTATGGTGAGTTTCATCTGCATTCATTCAGTCAGCTGCAAGTTAGAAGTGTGAGCGAGCTCTCTTTAGAGGCGATGGAAAGAAACAGATCAGATGAATCATCCTCTGCAGGTGTCTCTTTTCTCTGACTGCAGAATGCTAAGGAAAAGGAAAGCTTTCTTGGAAATGGTGCTTTTTGACATGTAGGCAGCTACATAGATCCCCCCTGCACTGACTACTTGTCAAGAAGTTTGATTTAAAGAGTTCCCAGTGATTTCATTTCAAAGAGTTAAGTCAGAGGAGGGGTGGAAGAAAGTTCCCCCAAGGCATTGCATTCTCTCCTTGCTGTTGGATTATCCTTTTTCTTTTTACTGCTTTGTTTCTTCCACACTTTCAGCCTCCATGGTATGAGGCAGTACTTCTACAAGCAGTGATCTATTACACTACATAAATGTGATTCCTCCTTAGAAACCAGGGTACTTCCTACATGGATACTCTTGGCGAGGGGGAGGAATAGTATATCAGAACATAAATCAGGTCTGTCATAAAGTAGATCTGTAAAATAGGCTGGTTTTAGGCTATTTATGCAATCTTAATTCTGTTTTATCTGAGTTTTGTGATACTCTCACTTATATACGCAGATGTATACAGCAATCTCTATAGTAGAGCATATTTTTGAAAGAAGCAGACTGATACAGAGCAAGGTTGTCATTAGTGTCTAATGTCTGCTCAGTTTGTTGAATTTGGAACAGTCAACGCCTGCAGAAGTCCCTGTTGCTGGGAGTATCAGATAGCAGCTGAGGTGCTGACAGTGTATTGTGGGCTGGAACAAAGTAGTTCCTCAGCAAATTTCATGCTGTCAAAAGAACACAGGAGGCCAGCTCTCTTGGCTTTATTCTGGGCTTTGAAAAGGGGTATCCCTAGTGAATACATTTTTATTGTATAGCTTGAGTTGCCCTACCCTTTTTTCCTTTATTATGTCTTCTAATTAATTATTTTGGTTGGAATGCAAAATAAATTGGAATTCTGCAAGTGCTTGAAAGTAGCTTGACTTCTTAGATCCTTACCATATTTTGCTGTGAGGAATGCTTGAAGGTATTCACTGAACTCTAAGGGACCTGGGGTCTCTGTATTTGATGGAAATAAGCTCCTGCTGTGGGTCATGCAGTGAAATAAAATGCCTAATTCAGGAGGTTAATGTAGATGCTTCTTGACTATCTGTGTTTTAACACTTAGGAACTTTGTTTTATTTATTGCTAAGGTTACTCCTCCTGCAAGAATCTGGTAATAATTCTGTCAAGTTTTCTGCCAGCCAGTTTGAATCTGGACAGCATCAGACTGTATAATCCTTTTCTGTATTGCAGATACTTACATGAAGCTTCTGACATTTTAATTTTCTTATATCTGTGATTTGAAAAGGATAGCAAGAAGTTCTTTGGATTTATATTTGTACTAGATGGCAGTACATCCTTGGATGGATGCAAATTCCAGCGTCTGTTTCTCCTTTGGAAGTCAGATGCTCTTCTCTTTTGCTCAGCATAAATAGCAGACTGAGGATTCCTGGTTACTAATTGCAAGTCAGGGTCTGGATTCCCTCCCCTTTCTCCTGCCAGAATTAATCCTTTTTCTATTGCGTGTTTTGTTGGTTTGGGTTCTTTTTCTCCCCCCCTTGCCTAATTAGTTTTGTGGGTTACTTACGTTTTGCTCAGGACTTTTGTCTTTCACCAGACCTTTAGTTTTTGTGGGTATTTTCAAGATCTCATTTATAATACAAGGAATAAGAAAACTTGATACAGCAAGTAACAAGGCTGATTTCTTGTGGTGCTGTCCTTTGTGCTTTTTAAAGTTGGCAGCAGTTGTAGAAAGAGTGACACCGTGTGTTAAGGTAAGAATTTAACTTTTCTTGATTTAGTTGCTATTACATCTTCAGTACTCTCGTCCTTTACCATGTTTGTCTTTTATCATCCATCAAACGTTAACGTTTTCTGTATGCTTGCTTTGCCGTGCTTTTGTTTTCCATGTATATATACCTGGAAAATTTCTATGTGCACATATGTTTATAGCTACGTGTGCTTTGAGAGAAGTTGCAGTGTCTTTAACTATTTTAACTTCCTGTTCAGTTTCCTTTACTGATAAAGGTGGGTTTAAATTTTGTTTAGTAATTTAAGAAATACCTGAAGGGGGGTCTACAAGAGAGCTGGAGAGGGATTTTTACAAGGGTTAAAGGGACAGGACAAGGGGAATGGCTTTAACATGACAGAGGGGAGTTTTAGATTAGAGATTAGGAAGAATTTCTTACCTGTGGGTGCTGAGGCACTGGCACAGGTTGCCCAGAGAAGCTGTGGCTGCCCCATCCCTGGCAGTGCTGTGGCTGCCCCATCCCTGGCAGTGTTCAAGGCCAGGTTGGACAGGGCTTGGAGCAACCTGCTCTAGTGGAAGGTGTCGCTGCCTGTGGCAGGGGGTTGGAACTGGATGAGCTTTAAGGTCCCTTCCAAACCAAACCAGTTTGGGATTCCAAATGCACCTCTGGAAAAAAGAGTTTGTGAAAGTGACTGGAAACCCAGTGGGGTCTCCATAGAAAAAGAAGATGAAGGATTAGTAGTGTGAAGATGCTGATGATGAGAGTCTGTGGTAGACATGCAGTGTAGTGCTAAGAATAGAAGGTTTTCTCTATTTCTAGGAAAAATGACAAATAAATTAAAGGTGAAGTTGAAAAGCAGGATTTCTTGGGGAAAGGAAAAGGAGGTACTTTAGGCCAATGTGTAGAACGCATTGCAGTGAAGGACATAAAAATACTTACAGTGTTTTACTATTAGCATAGTTTCTGAGATTATTCAACACTGTTAGGGTAAAATAGAGGCTTGTGTATGTTAGCGTGTTATCCAGTCATGAGCATTTGGGGGGCTGAGAAGCCAAATCTGATTTTAGGCTATGTGTGCCCAGTGATGGCCCCTGCTGAGGTTGCAGGTGCAGCAGTGTGCTGCTGGCTGTGTGCATACAGAAGGTATTCAGCTGCTGGATGATACTTTCTGCTTGAGGACCTGTTTCATACTTCTCTTGAGGAAAAGGTCCTAGGCTGAACAGAAACACTGTACAAGCCAAATCTGCTCAGGGCCTGTCAGACCACACATGAGTCAGTCTGTGCCTGCTTTGGAGTAGGAGGTAAAGAATGCTAGTAGGAAATAAAACTTTAATACCATTGCTAAAACAAAAGGTGCTGGGCTGAATCACGGACACTTGCTTGTTCGATAAAAGTAATGTATTGTCTCTTTGCTTCCCCTCTGCTTTTGTTTTTTTTTTTGTTGTTGTTTAGGTTGAATTTTCCTATCCTCCCCTAAAGCCTGCAGAAGGACATGACAGCCAAAGTTTGCCAGAGGAATGGAAGTACTTGCCATTTCTTGCCTTACCGGATGGGGCTCACAACTATCAGGAAGGTAAGAAGTGAGAGAGGAAGTTGTATCTACTACTGCTACTGCAATCAAAGAAAACATCTTGATGTCTGAACAGTTCATCGGTGATTCTTTCAGACTTCCTGCGTTGTTTTTGGTTTAAGCTGCCAAGTACATTGGCAAAGATACATTGCTTCACTTTGAAATAAAAGTAGATCATAAAGGTGATCCTACATCAAGAAATCAGATGTTGATAAAAGCCTACACTTGCATGTAGTCTAGAGCAAAACAAGGCTCCAGCCCTCTCAGTTCTTTGAACAGGGAATAAACTATTAAGTAAAACCTAATCCAGTTTTGAGGGAGTAATGAAATTCTAACATTCTGCTTTCATTATGTTCTCTACTAATTCAGAGGTTCTTAGAGTAACCCACAGGTCACTCAGTGTCTGTAGAATGGTGTATTTTGAAAACCAGCAAATGTAAAGGGCAGGAACAGAAGCTTTAGTGTATTTGTCAGCAGAATGATTCCTTTGCCACATATTTACCAGCAAGTTCACTGCAGTTATTTTGTTTCTGTTGCTTAGTATTGCATTTATTTGTTTGACAGCAGTTTGGTTCCTCACCATGACATTTATATGCAAGTTCAGTTGTTTCATCTGGGCTTTTTTTCCTGCATAGCAGTGAACAAGGAAGTCACTTAAAACAGCAAAATCACAGAAATGCTTTAATACTACTTTTAATAAGGTTTTTATGTTGTTGTTGTTTGGTTGGTTTTTTTTTTTAACTCTATGTACTTAGCTTCCTAATTCTCCAGCTTCCAGAGATCTCATTTGGAAGCAAAAAGAAAGTCATATCAAAATAATCCCCTGCTTAGCAGTAAGAAGACTCCAGTCTGGGTCATGATTCAATAGCTCAATTTCTGTGGTGTTAAATACATAAGGAGAAATAAGCTACATTCAAAGCCGGGAAAGTCACATTCAGCCACACCTACATGTATTCTCTTGGCTCAGTACCATCCCTCAACTTTAAGCATTTTTATTACTGTACTAAAAGCTTTTCAGTGTGTAATTTTGAGTAAATAAATAAAGACTTGGCAACAAAACTGATATATATTCTTGTGTCCTGTAAACAAGAATGCACCTGAATTTGAAACAGGCAAGTATGTTTCAGATAATAGTTATGCTTACTATAGCTTTATTAGATATCTATTTTTTGAGTTTTAAAGTAATTCCCACTTGTAGTTGCATTTTTTCAAAGGAGATGATGGTTCAGGAAATAGTCTTCAAGGCTTTCTAAAACCCTAGGTGGTCTTCATAATGTCATTAAACTTGTTTGAGGGAGTTAGCTTTGTTGTGAATAGTCCCTCTTTCTGTTGGACTTAAAAGCATGTAGGATTGTCTCTTCATTTTGTTACTGTGAAGCAAAGTACTAGTAGTTGGTTTCAAAACAAGTTCCACTCAGGTTTTTGAAAGGTAAACAGTTGTAACCTGTGTCTTCTAGTTACAATTCAGCAACAACAAACGGTTATAAAGTTGCCTTCTAGTTACAATTTAGCAACTTTTGCAGTAGTAGCAAGTGTACATGTATGTACATTGGTGTGTAGGTCTCAAGCCATAAAAACCTTTCTCTTGTCATATTTTATAGATACTTTTTTTTTTCTTTCATGTTACACTTGCACAGAGAGAGTATTTATTTTGTGTGAGACAAGGATTTACAAATCCTTTTTGTGAGCATAGCGGTGCATGAGTATCTACCTTAGCAGTGGTAGCAGCTATGTTAATCTTTCAGCTGTCCTCCTTGGTGTTTTTTTCCCTGTCTTCATGGCATTTACCTTCTTAATGGCATCACACTCCAGTTGTATGCCTTGCCTCACACTGCTTTGTGTTTGCTCCTCCATACTGAACTGGAAAAGCAGCAGCATACCTGCAGGTTTTAGTGGTGCTTAGCTGCTGTCAATAGCTGCTGTCAATAGAACCTGTCAGTGGGCTTGTAGGAGCTTTGTTCAGCTAAACACCAGGCTGTTAGAATATCGGGAGATGCTTCCACAAAGCATCTTGCAGTCTTGAAACTAATTTGAGTGTAGGCATAGCTTTATAGATGAGTTTTTAAAGTCTCAGAAAATGTGTCAGTATTTTCAGCAGTGAATGTTTTTTAAATAAGTGATGCTGAAAATGACAATATTGGACTCTTGTTAGTAACATATGAAACAAGTCTTTTCTTTTTCACAGATACTGTGTTTTTCCATTTGCCACCGAGGTGTGGGGATCGAACCACAGTCTATGGTGTCTCTTGCTACAGGCAGATTGAAGCAAAGGTAACTTTCCAAGTTGGGAATTATATTAATGAAATAGTAGGCTTGATGCATTAATGACCCCAAGAATCAGTGGCTTGCATTACACCAACAAACTGCATGATCAGCTTGCATTAAAAACCTATGAAAATATGCATAGTAAATAGCTCCATAACTTGGAAACTATTCCTTTCCCTTATGTCAGCAGGCTTATTGTGGTCTTTTGAAATGTCCAAGGCAATTGACAAATATGTTTTGGCTCTTGTGAGCTAATCCAAACATCAGCACCAAATATGAAAACAGCTATCAGCAAATAGCTAATAGTCTGTCACGTAGCCAAGTTATGGTATCCGGGAATTCAGCATCTTGGGTGGAAAATGTTGAAATTTCTCCAGTGTGTGCCCATGAAGAATTCTGGAGTGTTTCCTGGAATCTGATGATGCAAGTGTAGGGATGTTTTTCTTCACCTACCTCCTTTGCTGAAAGTGCACTTGCAGAGTAGACAAGAATCTTCCCATTCATTGTAGCTGCTTACCAATACTGAGCAAGTAAAAAGCAGTAAAGGTGAAAAATAGCTGAGAGGTGGTGTGCACCTGATCACACTGAGGAAATGATGTACTTGATCTACTGGAATCTGTCCGTATTTTCAGAAGTAGTAACAGTAGTATGATCTGTGTATGACTGAGAAATTGGGAACTAAATGATCTTTAAAATCCCTTCCAGCCCCAACCATTGTAGGATTCTGTTGCTGAGTTATTACAGATTTCTTTTAAAATTCCTCCCTTTTCCAGTGAGATGCCAAAAATCTGGACTGCCATGTGGGTTTGAGCTTTAAATGAGTCTTGTATTCAGAAGATGTAAATATTGTACTCTGTTCTAGTGTTAATCATACCTTGATTATATTTCAAGTTCCTGTTTATGCTATAGGAGAAATTTTACACATGCAGATTTTAGTTCCATTTCTTCTGAACTAAATCCATGTTGACTTCAGTTCCCTCACTATCTTTGCAGCCAGTCTTCGCTGTATTCTGTGATTTAGAGCCTTCCTCTATTTAACTATAAATTAGCTTGGCTTTATTGTGCTCTTGATTAGTTTATGTTGTTTAGTAACTAATTAAGACGCTAAAGAGATGTTTAACACTTTGGAACAAGTAGAACACAAAACAATATGTTTCATAGGACAGCTGTAGTGCTCTTCCCATCTGTCCTTTCTGGTATGTGGGTTGCAGTCCACACACTTGCTGGTTTGTACCATTAAGTGAATCACTTTGCTGGATTTCTGCCCCACCCTTTCTAGGTCTGCTCTTAAATCCTGGGACCATTTGGTCTGGCTGAGAATGTAGCTGATTCTGCAGATTATACTTCCTATTTATTTGATGGGTGGCTCAAAGAAATCCTCAAGTATAAAGCAAACAGGTTTCTAGGCAAAGACTTTTCAACCTGGTCCATTTCCACAGATACTGTTAGAGAAGAGCAAGAGATGTGTTGTGGCTCCTGTTACATTACCTTGAGTTAAAATGCCATTGCCTTTTCCAGGGCTATTGCCTTTTTCTCATGCTTGTGTCTTTTTAAACAGTCCTCTGCCTATCATCACAGTTCTATTTGGATCTTTGTTGTGCTCACTGAGATGAGAACACAACTCTGACTTATAAGTGTTATGACCATTTTTACTAGGTAAGGGCAAACTGTTGCATGGTTTGGATATTCTGCCATTTAAGGCAGTCAGTTTTAGGACCCTGTTTAAAACAGGGGGATGGCATGTGGCAACTAGACCTGTATTCACAACTGTATCTGGTAGAACTACTGTAATACTTCTATTTTTTAGGCATTAAAAGTACGGCAAGCAGATATCACCCGGGAAACTGTACAGAAGAGTGTCTGTGTTCTCAGTCAGCTGGTAAGAATGCTTGTTAAACTCTCAAAACACTTTCAGATAACATACTAAAAATTATTTATTTTCTATGTTCTGATTTGGAACTTTTGGCTCCAAATACCTCTCTTTATTGGAAAGTGAATGTACTGAAGCAAAACTGAGTCAGAAGGCTCTGGCGTTTGAGTGAGCTGCCTGGAATTGATATATAAGTTATTGTAGACATGTCTGCCTTCTGTAGATGTTATCAGGGATCAGGATATTTATTTGTGCTTTGGTTATTCTCATGTGCTACTAACTTTATTTCAGGTAGTAGGATTGAGGGGTTTTGCCATTATAATACCTGGAGAGAGTGGCTATTGACGTTGATGCTCTGACAGTTGACATTGAAAGAGGTTTTAAGATAGTCACACATACAGCACACTCTTGTTTTGAAGAAACATCTTGTGATTCTACCTATTTAGCAAAAGCTGTCTGTCACCAGGCAGGGAAAAGGGATTCTTTCTGTGCTTAAAGCTGAAAGATTTAAGCACAGGAGGAGGATGCTGCAAGTTAGCAACTGCCCCTCCATGAACTCTGTGTGTAATAATGTCTATATTGCAAGATAAGAGTGGGAGAAGATTCTACTTTAAAATGAGGGACTAAATAAGTTTTCTTCACGTGCTTTTGTGTTTGTTTTTCTCCCAAGCCTTTGTATGGATTACTTCAGGCGAAGCTGCAGCTCATCACACATGCGTACTTTGAAGAAAAAGACTTCTCACAAATTTCAATTCTTAAGGTAACTTTTCAATAACAGCCACACAACAAACTTTCAGTGTACAGAACAAAGCTTTCAGTGTACGGCTACAGGTTTTAGTGTGTGCAGTTATTGCTCAAATATTCCATTTGCATAGGTCATTCAATTATTCAGCTGTTGTAACAATTTAAGATGAACTATTCTAATTTGACAGAGAGTCACCTTTCTGATGTGTAGTGAAATACAAGAACAAGCATGATTATCAGTCTGTATCTCCATTGACCCCATCAGTAAAATCTGTCTTTCTGGAATAAGATGTTGAGATCCTTGAAAAAGCGAATTTTATTTATTCTGGATTTTTGGTGACCATGTGCCATTAACAGCTTCTGAGTTTTGTTTTGCTTTTGTTCTAACTTTTATAGGAGCTTTATGATCACATGAATAGTTCTCTGGGCAATTCTTCACTAGAAGGGTCACAGGTTTATCTTGGTAAGTATTTTTGTACAAGCAGCAGAGATGTTAAACTAATCAGCACATTCCCTTCCTGAGCTAATTTGTTTATGTGCATTTAACAAATTAAACAGCAGAGGTCTGTGTGGCTGCACACTATTCTGTTATGTGTTTCTTAATGGATTTCAATAAATGTCAAATGAATTGAGTGTTGCTTTCAGAATAGGAGTTAGTTGTAGGTTAAAAGCCGTGTTACCTCTTCACCCAACAGCCTGACAAGCCACTGCTTGGCTGCTTTTAGGAAACAGTACCTTCTTAATTTCTAGGTTGAGCTATTTGATGGTGTAGGGTGCTCAAGCTTTCATCATCTGTTTTTTTGGGATAGATCCCGTCTGATTCTGACTCTTTTCTGTGTTTTCTGAATGAACAGTGAGTACTTCAGCCTTTCCATAATGCTGTATGGTAGCCAACAGGAGTCAGCTCAAGAGTATGACAGTTCATGTTATTATTGTCTCATTTGTAGATATAATTCTTGCTCCTGCTTAAAAGAAAGTATTTGATATGAGTTCTGCTCTTGAAATAACCAGGTTCACATAATGGGTGTCCTGTCCCCTCTGAAAAATGGTGACAAGACTTATTTTAGTATCTCTACAAGCTATTAAGCTGTAGTAATTGCTCTCTTTTTGGAATCTCAGGTCTGTCTCCTCGGGATCTTGTTCTTCACTTTCGACACAAGGTAGGTGTTCTATACCAGATGTATGAAGTACAGCACTTTGTGGAGTAAAATGCTTTGAGAGGAACTGAAAAATAAACATGTCTAGACATACCCCAGCTAGGAGCAAGATGACTGTTTCCTAAGTGCTTCTGGTTACAACCTCCTCATTTCCTATCCTCTTCCACCTACATAAATTCAGTGAATATGTAAGTCCTAGACTGACAAGTTTTGCCTGTGTGCTGGATTCCTTGGCCATTTCTACATTTGTGTGACATTTCTTTAGACCTGTCCCAGACTGCAGGTGGGATCTCAGTTATGATCCTGTTTCTATTTCCTGCTTCTCATCAGATGAATGTGATGGAAGAATATTGTTAAAGTTTGTGCAGGCACAACTTGGAGCATTTTTCCCTGTATCTTGTAATTTCTGCAGCTTCTGCCATCACAGAACTTGAGGGGACTAGCTCCTCTTCTATTTCCTAATGACTATTGAAATGCAGTGTGTATCCTATAACTAAGGTACAAATAACATTTAGAATCTTATTAACTGAGGGAGGTATCAAGGAAGGAAATTAAAGAATCTGAATTTCATGGTGTATTTGGCCTGCTCAGTAAATTTTTGGGGTAGAACTCATTTTTGTTTAACAGCAGAGGTCTGCCAGTCATACCCCAGAATTGTCTATGTTTTAATTTGAGTGTAGAGAGTCTGTACGGCCACTCTGATCTGGATGTCTCATCTGTAGATGCCTAAAATTAGGTGAGGTGAATGACAGTCTTGGTATTCTGCTGAATCTTTTCTGTAATTCTGTGGAGGAACTCCTTTACGGTTCTGTAGTTTACTGGGGTTTTTAAATTCTTGAGTTATGCAACATGTACTTTCTGATAAGCTTTGTATGCTTCAAATTACACAATTCTTTGTGTAGGCTTTTCATTGTGTATCTCAAATGCTGATTTAAAATGAGTGCTCAGGTGGGAAAAGAGTATTGGAACACTGGTTTTCACTGGTCAAATGTATTTGCTCATTTGACAATCATGCAGTGATTAACATGAAACCTTGGGTAAAAGATTAGGCTTGCACAGTATTTTTGATAAATGGCACTGGTTCACTCACCATATTTCTCCTTTTTGTGTTTTTTTCTGCAGGTGTTGATCCTTTTTAAACTGATTCTTCTAGAGAAAAAGGTAATGTTTTGTAGGCTGAGGTAATTAAAATAGAAGATGCAGTTATAAAAATTTGCCTCCACTTCTGTTCTGTTCATACTCCACCTTATTAATGGTTGTCCCAGTCAGAGTAAGTAAAATGTTATTAAATGTGAATGAAGAAACTTAACATATTATAAAAGATAAGAAAGGATACACATAATGCAAATAGGTACCTGTGTGAAGGAACCAATAGGAAAGCTGGTACCCAAAAGGCTGCGTACAGTTTTACATTTTTAAATAGGCATATCAAAGAAAACAAGTGCTAGAAGTGTCTTTCAGACCTGAATTGCATGAACACTTGCAGGAGACAAGGTAAAAAGCCTATCTGTTAAGTCAGGCTGAACTCACATTGAGTGGGTAAAACCAGTTGAATTCTAGGCTCAGTGTTTTCTTTGGGCTATCTCACTGCCCCAGAAGTAATGCTGACTTAGTCATTTAAGTGCAATGTGCAAAATGTACAAGCAGATGTGAAACAGAGACATTTGTTTTCTTCTGTGTGTGTATATATATATATATATATATATAAAAATACCCTGGAACAAGCACTTTCAGTGAAACCAATGTGTATCAGGTCTCAGATATATGAAGGGATTTGCTTTTGTTTGTTTTGCTTTTTTAAACTTGTTGTTTAAAATTCTGTTTCAATTTCCCAAATGTCACCTTTTCTTAGCAAACCTGCTCTGTTAAACCCCAACTTCTTCAGAGCACTGAGAAGGAAAATGAGGATTTCCTGTTAGCTGCAATTGGAAAGTCAGTAGGACTTAATCTATAAAGGAAGTGTTCAAGGCCAAGTTGGATGGGGCTTGGAGCAACCTGCTCTAGTGGAAGGTGTCCCTGCCCATGGTAGGGGTTTGGAACTGGATGATCTTAAGGTCATTTCCAACCCAGACCAGTCTGTGATTCTGTGAGTAATTCTAAGTATAAACAGTTGTGATTTTTTTTAAGCTTATTGAAGGCCTGGGTATCGTTAGTGAGGCAGTAAATATGGTTTTAAAAACAGAAGTAACAGCTTCTCGGAAGCTTTTGCACTTTTCACTTGTAAATTAAATATACCTTGACAGTTCTAAATATTTCTTGATGAGAATAAATGCATTGATGAGAATTTATAGAATCACAGAATAGAATTATAGAATGGTTTAGGTTGGAAGGGGCCTTAAGATCATCAAGTTCCAACCCCCTGCCATGGGCAGGGACACCTCACACTAAACCATGTCACCCAAGGCTCTGTCCTACCTAGCCTTGAACACTGCCAGGGATGGAGCATTCACAACTTCTCTGGGCAACCCATTCCAGTGCCTCACCACTCTTACAGTAAAGAACTTCTTCCTTATATCCAATCTAAACTTCCCCTGTTTAAATTTTAACCCATTGCCCCTTGTCTTATTACTACAGTCCCTAATGAAGAGTCCCTCCCCAGCATCCTTACGGGCCCCCTTCTGATACTGGAAGGCTGCTATGAGGTCTCCACGCAGTTTCTGCATTTAAGAGCTGTATGCTAAAGACTGCTAGGTATGAAAGGCTAGGCAAAAGGTATACTTGAGAAATTACAATTATGACATAGTAAGAGTGCACATGGAAATATGTATATAATCAAGACTCAATATGCAAGCTTTTTCCCCAGAAGAACCGAATTCTGCATTGTTTTTTAAACCATAAATGGAAAGAATATTTCCCAGTAAGATTTTGTAACGTATCTCCATGGATCTGTTTAAAAACTTATAATACCATTTCATCAAGTCAGTTCAGTATCTGGACATAAAGAAACAAAATGCTTTCTTAAGTTACAGTTCTTCTCTGAAGCTGCTCAAACCACAAGACATAAATGCACAGGAAGAGGAAGGGTTTCCCAAGCATGTTCATGTGACTCAAACATATGAAATTGTTTTTAAAGTAACTGGATACTTGTTGAATAAACCTGCAGGTTGCTTTGGTTTTGTTTTTCCCTGACCTCCAACAGGAACACAATGCTTGCATTTTCAAAAGGAAGAGTTTAGGTTTTCTGACACTGCCTGTTTTCTGGCACATATTAAGGTTCCAGAATAACAGAAGGAATCTGTATGTTCAAAGACCTTAAACATAATCTCTAAGAAGCCACTAGTAATGCCAGTTTTCCTTGAGCTGAAAAATGCCTGAATGCCACAGACAGATTTGCTTTAATCCTTAGCAATTTGGTTGATGCCGTTCCACAGGCTGAAGAACTGGTTTTCCACCTCTTGGCTGTCATTAGGCTGGAAGATTACTTCCAGATGGTGATCATTGGGTTTTCTGCTGCCAGGACCACCCAGTTTGCTGATGTAGATGTTGTAGGGCATATAATAGGGTTGGGAGGGGTCAGGAAGTGTGTGCACATATAGACAGAGAGATGGCAGAGGGGCTTGATGGAACCAATATAGAAAAGTACTCGGCTTAAGTAAGCAGTATACCAAGTGAAAACTTAGGGTGGAATAGATTTCTTGTAAGCAAGATGGTACTTACAGACCTAATTATTTCTGTAGGCTTAAAAATAAGCTTGGCTAGGAATACATGTTATCTGGGAATCTAAATCTCTAGAGGTATTGCAAGATTTCTGTTGTAGTTCATTGCTGTTGGGTCCTGCATCTTTCATTCATGTGTTAGAAAGCAGCATCCTAGAAGAAGTTTGACTTTTTGATTCCTGTTGGAGTCAGCTGAAATCTTGTCCTCAGATGAGCTGCTTGTTCTCATCATGCTTTCTCTGTGGCTGTAGCAATTGAATTTGCCTATCTTGAACATAGAAAAAAGAAAATTTGTGCAAGATAATACACATAATCTGTTTCTAGCTGATGTACTATTAAATATCATTTGGTGTGTGTTAGGTCTCTATAGGTTTTTCTTTCGGTTCTATCAATTCACTAGCTTGTAGACCTGCAAATAGTAGTGAAACATGAGTTCATCAGTCACATCAAAGTGTCTTCCTAGCTGACAGCAGAAGTCTTCTAGAAAGTCTACAAATTTGCACTTTTAATTTCATCATAAACCTATTAAACTGGCTTGCAAAGTCATCAAGTTAGGTCGTTCTGCATTCCTTTGGTTGATTGCTTGTAATGCTTGCCTGTCTTGGAGGAGCTTCAGTAGTAATATTCAGTCTGCCTTGTGGCTCTTCTTTCATTGCTAGCCTTTGACACCCCTCCTTTTGAATTCCTAACTAATTTACTAATCACAGTCTCTCTGGTTTAATTAAGGAGATTCTCTATTCCCATGTTATGCCTTAAGTGCTTTACCAAAGCTAATTATCAGTCATGTTTTCTGTTTCCACAAAATCTTGGGTTTAATCATAGGAAGACACTGTTAATAAATATACGCTACATTTATCCTGTTTTTCATTTATCTGCATAGCTTTAATTTATTTTCTTAGAAGAGATGGTTTTGCATAGTTTTTTGTCAGAATTCTGGAATGGAGATTATTTGGCCTTTTTGATTTATAGCAGACATTATAATGTACTACACATGGATAAGAATTTATGCGGTGTGCCAGGAACAACTTTTTCCTGTCAGTTATTCAGTAACTGAATCAATTTGGAGGGAAAAAATTCTGAACAACTGACAGTAAAATCCAAATGATTGACAAGTATCTATTACACATGGCTGTATATATGCAGCATATATATATCATAAATAAAATGTAAGGGTATAATAGACATTTAAATATTTGAAGTACTGTAAGAGCTTTTGTTGCTACGCAGACTCTCTAAAATACCATAAAAAGCAATGCTTGAATAGTTTGTGTGTGTTCTATATACCTTTGTCATGCTTGAGTGTAATTTTATTTTTCTCGTTCTCTCCTCCCTAATTCTCCTTTTCTCTCCCCACCCCTCTCCCTTCTGCCACTAGGTGCTGTTTTATATCTCTCCAGTCAATAGGTTAGTGGGAGCTCTGATGACTGTCCTGTCACTCTTTCCTGGTAAGAAGAGAAGTTTAGACTTTTTTTATATGCTTTCTGGTAGTAACTGGGACGGGCAGTTTCATATGGCAGACAACACAGGTGACAATAGAGTCATGTTTGGTATGTTGCTTGAAAAACGGGTGACTTTTATGTGTGTACACATATCCTAATTCTTGCTACTTACACGCTATGGGTTATTTCTTGTGCTTTATTGGAGCCACTGGATCTTTTGTATTGTCAGTGGGTAACATAGATGGGACCCTGAGTAAGTCACATGTTCCTGGTGAGTTCAAACAAACAAAACCAAAACCCCTGACCTTGCTAATTCCTAGCTTCTAACCAGTCTCCTCAAAGAAGAAAAGTTGGGGAAGATTGTTTAGGAGAGAAAGTGTGGGGTTTGGGTTTGGTTTACTTCTGTTTTTTTTTTAACACAGCTTCCCCCAAAAGTAGTGTTTTAAAAAACTTGATTTCCACTACATACACCAAAGCACTTTGTTCATTTTCTTTATTCAAAGTCACTTCTATTTCCATTGAGATGCTGATATTCCTGTGTGCTATCACTTTCCAGGAATGATTGAACATGGTCTTACTGACTGCTCACACTATAGACCAAGAAACAGCATATCAGAGGATGCTGGGTTGCAGGAAAATACACCACATTTAGGTGACCCTGTTTCTGCTGCTGATACTTCAGATACAACTTTAGGAATGGGAAAGGGAAGCAGAAAGGTGGCAGAAAACCTTTCACTGGAAGGTCAAAAAACAAGCATGCCTTTCTCCCCATCAGAGAAGACTTGCAATGGAGCTCAGTCCTCCAACAGTGCTGTGCAGCGCTTGAAAGTTCCTTCCCGTGCTTCTCCAGCATCCTCTGAAAGTGACTGGGAGACCTTAGATCCAAGCATTTTGGAGGAGTCTAATCTGAAAGAAGGAGAAGGTGAAAATATAGCATCAGAACAGGCTGAAAATATTCTGAGCTCAGAAAGCCTTCCAATCACTGTGCAACCCCAAGCAAATACAGGACACGCGGTGCTTGTTCCAGGACTGATTTCTGGGTTGGAAGAGGACCAGTACGGTATGCCGTTGGCTATTTTTACAAAGGTAAACATGTTGTTCATGATACCTGGTAACTCATAAAGACATCTGTTTTTCAGAAGTGGCTAATAATTTTGGTTACCCAACTCCAGATAGACAGTAGGGTACTACAAAACAAGTCTCTGGCAAGTAAGTACAGTCTCTGGCAAGTGACTGTGTTCCTAGGCAGGTGGAAAGTGTGAGTGCACGTCTGTGGTTAATAAACGGTATGTAACTACTGTTTTCTTTCACTCTGAGTTGTTGATCTAACCTGTATGGGGCAAGATCAGAGTACTTAAGAAGTGGTTTGATACATTAATCTACACTAAGATTCTGAAAGCTGTATTTTAGCTAACACCTAAGCCTGTGTTTCCCTCTTCTTATTTTTATATGTATGTATTTATAAATACATATGTGTATATATGCGTAAAATGTGTATATAAATGTGTATCTGTATGCACACACAAGAATATATAGAATCATAGAATCACAGGCTGGTTTGGGCTGGAAGGGACTTAAAGTTCGTCCAGTTCCAACCCCCTGCCACGGGCAGGGACACCTTCCACTAGAGCAGGTTGCTCCAAGCCCCATCCAACCTGGCCTTGAACACTGCCATGGATGGGGCATATATATCCAATTTCATTATTTTTTACATGGTAACTCCCAGTTATCTGGCTCTTTCTCTGTGCCTGGTGCAGAGCCACTGAAGTTTAAGCTTGTGCTGGTGCCTTACTGAACTCCAGGTACTCGAGTGTCTCTCTAAGGACTCTGAGCATTGTCAGATAACAAGCAGTACATTTACTAGGGCTGGTTTCCCGTAACCTTTCCCCTTCCCCCCCGGAAAGTGCATCCCTGTTAAAGATATTTTTGTTAGTGAAAAAGTTTTGTTTTTAATTTAATAATCTTTTAGAGGAGCTTTTGCCCAGAAAGAAGATTCAGATTGATTTCCTCAAGCTGATGAGGTTCGAAGTGGTATTTCTTCCTTTGGAGGTGCTTATTTGCATTTCCTTAATAGAACATTTTATTAAATGGGTATGTGAGCTCCTGTCCGTAACTTGCATTGGAAATGGCAGTCTGTGTGGGCTTATGGGAGCAGCTCAAATATCATTGCCCTGTATTGCCTTATGTCACTGTTAGAAATGCTTTTTCAACCAAGATCTGCAGTCTGGTGTTTGTCCATATGGTCTGTCTAATGAAAAGGATAGCCTGTAAATTGTATTTAGTGTAGTTCTATGGGAAATACTAGATTGAAAGCAAGAAGAAAATGATTGATAAGGGGGCCTATGAGTGCAAGCTTAGTTTGCTACTAAGCCCATAAAGTGGAAAAGTAAACAATTTTAAGGAAACGGACAGTTTCTACGTGTTTACCTTCTGTTCCACAATGGCACTTTTCATTTGAATTCATCCAGTGTCATTAAAGCAGAAAAGACTTTACATCTCTTTAAGTTATCAGAAAAATGTCATTTGAAGTTATAGTTTAACCACTATAAACTTGCTGCAAAGTTTAAATCTCTTTTAGAGCTCTCATATCAGTGTTTTTTTATGCAATGCCATGGAAAGACTAATAAATCTGACTAATGAGAGTGGGAGGAGATTTTGCCAGATGGCCTAATTCCTTATCCAAGTACACCTGAGCATAAGAAAAAATAGGTTGTGATACTTGTTTCTTTGGTATCAGTTCTTTAAGTTCTGATACTTATTTCAGTGGCACTCTTTAAAAAGAATGGAACACGTTCACAGAAATGAGAGTAGTTGTACTTAGAGACAAATGTGAATTTGGGAACTGAAACTTGATACTTAAATAGCAAAAGATTTCCAGGACTTTGCTACTTGGCTATCCAGTAATTAAACCTTCCTTTGCCAGCCGTACTTTGGGAAAGATTTCCATTTAAGTTGGTGATTCCCCTTAAAGCACCATTGTTCCTTTGACACAGGCTATTTGTTCTCAGCTGATAAGGCCTCCTCATCTGGGAAGCCATCCCTGTGTCTAATCTAACAAAAGGGAATAGCTATGCTCCTTCCTTCCATATGTTTCCCATTACCACGTACTGTGTGATGAAGTGCACATGCTCTTTTTTCTGTCTGGTATGTGTTAGCCCTTCAGGGTTCCTACCAGTAAATTGCTTTGTGTTTTATACAACTGAACATCTGGAATTAGATTTCAGGGGTATGTTGAGCCTGTATTGAAAAGAAAATTACAATTCCTACATCTGCTTCTCAATGATCTCTCAATGATTTCCATCAAAGCCTTTTTACAAAGGTAAAATATTTGGTTGTTGGGGTCTTTTGCAACTGGAATGTAGGATACTAATTTAACTTGTAATCATGGAGTGGCTAAAAAGCATGGTGTATTGCTTTCTATCCTGCTCTTTCTTAAAGCAGGCATGCATATGGTTATCAGAAACTGATTGCTATCTCTGGAGCCTGGAAATCTCCACCTACAAAATGTGGATAGCAGTCTGTAGCTTTCCTGCATTATGTGCTTCAGGACTACGAGAAGACATGGTATGCAGGTGGAGAGATGAATCTTTGTTGACTTCTTGTCTCTGAATTGACCTGAGACCTCACTCTTGTTTTATATTGCTTGATCTGTTGCCTTAGAAACATATTTGATTCCTGTCCTTTGTGTTGTGTTTCAGCTTCAGTCCTGGGGCTGAAAGGCAGCATAACCACCTCTTGAAAAAAGTGATTCATGTGGAACCTGGTTGCTTTGCTTTGCAGATGTGATGTAGCAAAGCAATAGATAATCGTGGCTGAAATTGTAGTAACTAAGGTTCATTCTGGGTGGAATGTGCTGGTTTTGTTAGGGAAAAACTCTAAATGTAGACAGTTCTAATTGTTTGACCTTATGTTAATCCTCTGAACATGTCTGTTCTTTTAGGGGTACCTCTGCTTGCCCTACATGGCACTGCAGCAGCATCACCTCCTGTCAGATGTAACAGTGCGCGGCTTCGTTGCCGGAGCCACCAATATCCTGTTCCGTCAGCAGAAGCATCTGAGTGATGCGATTGTGGAAGTATGAGCCTTTGCCTTTGAGCTTCTTGAACTAGGGAGGGGGGAAACAGAGGTTCCATTTTAAATACAGCTTTAAAGTTTCACATTCATGCCCAAATTCTGACTTATTTCTTTTGAAATCTTAAAATGCAGAAGCGTGTTAAATTGGTATCATCTGTTAGGATAGGGTTAGATAAGCTGTGCAAAACTACTACATGTTTTTCTGTGTAGTTTTATATGCAATATTTGAATTTGCAGGCCACTTAGGGTTTTGTTGCTGGTATAATTTTAACTTCTCGTGTTGTGGGCTTTTTTCATCACTTTGTAGTAAGGTGTCCTGGGTTCAGCAGTAGCAGTCATTTTTCCCCTTCTTGGTAGCTGGACGAGTCTTATTTAAAGTCGAGTATATTTTTCAAAAATAAGTGCTTGCAGCTGAGAAACAGCTACAGTTGGGTAATAAAGCACATTGCTGTTGAGTTCCTTCTGATTCAAGCAAGAGATAAAAATCAGTATCTAAGAAAACATCAGTTCTAGCATCAGTATCTAGTCAGAAAACATCAGTATCTAGTCAGAAAATATCAGCATCTAATCAGTTCTAGCAGATGGATACAGCTACATAATCAGCATTTGGTAACCTAAGATAGCTACATATAGGTAACCAATGTAATAAATTGAAGTGATAATCAAAGAGCCTCTAGGAGAATGTATGTGAGCACCAAACTTCCCCTGCCAGATCCTGTCAAATAAGCAGCTTTTACTATGTGCCAGGGAGATTATTAGGTTCTGGTTTTATCAGAGCAGTATCTGACTTTCTGAGAACAGTTAATTCTTTGTTTCTTTGGCTGTTTGTTTCTTCTTGATATTGGGGGGACTGTAAGTTTAGATTTAGGTAGTAATATATATATATATATATAAGTAATTTTATCTAGATGAATGTTTACCATTGGAACTATTTCAGATAGAAGATGCTCATGTACAAATCCATGATCCAGAGCTCCGTAAGATCCTGAACCCAACAACTGCTGACCTGAGATTTGCAGATTACTTGGTGAAGCATGTAACTGAGAACAGAGACGATGTTTTCCTTGATGGCACTGGATGGGAAGGAGGTGATGAGTGGATCAGGGCTCAGTTCAGTGCTTATCTTCATGCACTGCTTGCTGCTGTGCTGCAACCAGGTAGAACAGACGCCTTGTCTAGGGACTGAGATGAGGGTGGGTGTAATAAACATTTGTACTGTTGCATTGAATGTGTGGGCGGTCACTGGATCTTTCTCTACCTCGCATTTCGCTTCAGGCTCCTTTTTCGGTTGACCTTGGCTATTCTTGTTACTCCTTGCCAAGCTTGTTACTAATTCTCACTCCACAGCCTGACAGACACTTTTTTCTTTGTCTTTTTTTTTCTTTGTCTGTCTCCTTGATTTAATTAAGCTTTCCTCATAAGTAGAAATACCTGAAACCCCATATGTGATGAGACTTTTACAAACACTGTTGCAGCTTGAGGTTAATTTTGGGGAACTAATTGGATTTGGAGACATTAAGTTAAGAGGCTGTCTTCAGGAAGTTTTCCAAGGCTATTCCATCTCTTTTCCCTTCCTGCCATAGTCCCAAGCAGGGATTCATATAAGTGGAAAGTGTCATGTAGAGGTGTGTGTGTTTTCTGGAGCTCAATTTTTTGTCTTAACTCAGAAATCTCAATGTTCCAGCTTTTTGTGCATGAATATAACTAAAAGAATCAGTGTTTTATTTGTGGAAAATGTTTAGTTTGCCCAGCACTGACCCTGTTCACTTCATTCTCGTCACAATTATTCTATATTCATATCAAATAACTAAGTCAGATTTTGTTCTGTGGTGTATGTGAGAAAACATGGGATTGGGGACTTGATTTTTCAAGCCCGGAAGATGCTCAGTTCCCGTCTGACAGTATTTTCAGATGATTCATATGAAGTGCCAGGGTTTTCATACTAACTTTGCTCTAAAATAACTGTTTTCCTTCTCTCCTGGCATTGTATGTTTGAGACAATTTAAAATGAAGCTAAGAAAACATTATTTAAGTGCCTGGTTCTTAGTACTAGGGTTTTACTTGTCCGTGATTTGATAAGAGCCTGGAAAACTTTAATGTTTCCTTACAAGAAAGAATGTGCTATGTCTTGTGTTTGGTCTCTAATGAATTACTGCAAATTCTCATCTTCTTTTTAATTTATCAGACAACGAAAAGACGTTGTCAGACTTTGGAACGGTGTTTGTAGCAGCCTGGAAAAACACCCACAACTACAGAGTATGGAACAGCAACAAGCATCCAGCTCTTGCAGAGGTAAATTCTAGGTAAGGAAAGCATATTTTTTTTTTCTTTAAGCATTTACCATGGATTGCTCCTAGTCAGGTACACCATTCTGTAGGAATACAGTGTTCCTTTGTTCCTGCTATAAAGCACATTGAATCAATACCCCCTTCAATAGTTCTTGCTCTAATTCTGAGCTATAGTTCTAGGAAGAAAAATGCATCCTGACTCAGAAGAAGTGAAAGTTGCTCAAGTTGATTGTTGGCTGTCCACAGCTATAGGAAGTTTGTCATTTCTCAGGAATTGTGCTCAGATGGTTCTGCTTTTCACTAATTACTTCCATGTGTCCAGGGAATAGCCGTGTCCAGGGTGGTCATTAATGGGGATGGAGAGGAACTGCCTGTTTTGTATTGCATCTTCTGTACTTTGGATTGTTTTATGTGTATTTTCACTCAAGATTAGATGATGCCAGGCTTGGCGACACTGTTGGCTCTGCATGCATTTTGTTTACAATGGGTTGTTATTGTACTGCAGGGAGTTTTGTTTGCTTTTGCATTGTCAGCTGCTCTAGTCTGAAGAAGGCTTTTCTTCAGACCTGCAAAGCTCTCTTGGTCTACTTAAGGGATCTTTTTTATTTGCTCGGTTTTGTTAGAAGGAGGTGCTGTGCCTTAGTGTGCAAAAATTGTTAATATCTGGACTGTAAATAGAAGGCACCTTACAGGTCGTTCCTAGGAAATCGACAGTTGAATTGTCACTGGGACCTCACCTTTGGTGAAGTAGTGCGTCTACAAGAGATTTTATTAGTTTTATTGTAAGCCACAAGGAGGAGTACAAGTAATAATTGTGTGACATGAATTGATTTATAAAACTAAATTTCTAAATGTTTTCTTGGGTTTTCCTCCTCTTCTAGCCACCCATTCCAGGGCCAGTACTCTGTGTCAGATGTGAAGTTAAGATTGTCACAGTAAGTATATAGTACTTGGATTTTTTTATAGTTTTTAAAGTGTGATCAAATATTAATAACCTACTTTTCCTATGATGAACTAAAACAAAAGAATTATCTAAATTGGGCCTGCACATGAAACTGTACTCAGTGTTCTGCAAAACACCACGTCTAAAGATGGAACATTCACCTAAATAAGGAAAAAGAGTGCTAGTGCACTATTTTATGTTGGACTTCACAATAGAGCTCTGTTTTTCTTGCATTGCAATTATAAGGCTTTTGTATCTTTTCTTCCTCTGAGAAGCTTGCCTAAGTGATCTGTGTGAATAAGATGCAGGAATTATGGGCTTGATGATGTATGTATATATAAAACTATACACTATGTAAATTAGTGTGTGTGTTGATATATAAACTTTAACTATGTATTTTATTCACACCTGGAAGTGCTAAGTCAGTCAGCTAACAGTGTTCAGTATCTCTCTTGTTTAGCTCTGTGCAAAACAGTGAACGTGGAAAGAAGATTGGGAATGTGATGGTTTCTACTAGCCGAAATGTTGTTCAAACAGGAAAAGCTGTAGGTAAGACATTTGTTTCAAACCAGCTTGCATCTAAGCCATATCTTTTTTGAAGAAGCATCCTATATCTCAGTTATGGTTTGTTTTAATCCAGGTGTACTTTATTGTATATAAAGCAGAGCAACAGTTTGAGGGGTAAAGCTGCCGATTGAGGCTCTGTGTATCTGTGGAATACAGAAAGAGAAGCAGCTAGACAAAGTGTAAATTCCTTTTCTGGTGTGGGCTGGAGATGAATGTGGAAAAAGAGATGTTCAGGTAAAAGCTCTAATGGAATCTGGAAGTGCTTAGACAACATCACCACCTTCTGCACTGAGCTATTCTCATTTTTATATCACTTCGACTGAAACTATTCAGAGCTGGTTGAAATCAGAGGACGACCTTGTGTCAGTTTCCTCAGGTTTTGCAGTAATCTATAATTCTCTGGAAAAGCACTTCTTGCACTTGAACAGGAGCCACATCACATTGTCACAGAATCACAGAACCAATGAGGTTGGAAAAGGCCTTCAAGGTCATAAGGTCCAACTGTTCCCCAACATTGCTAAGTCCACCACTAATCCACGGCACTGAGGGCCTTGTCTACACAGTGTGTGAACACTTCCAGGGATGGTGACTCCAGCATTGCCCTGGCAGCCTGTTCCAATGCCTGAGCACCCTTTGTGGAAGGAATTGTTCCTCATCTCCATCTAAACCTCCCCTGGTGCAGCTTGAGGCCATTTCCTCTTGTTCTGTCCCTTGTTCCTTGGGAGCAGAGAGCAGCCCCCTCCTGGCTCCATCCTCCTGTCAGGCAGTTGTTGAGAGAGTAAGGTCCCCCCAAGCCTTCTCTTCTCCAGACTAAACCCCCCAGGTCTCTCAGCTGTTCCTTATCACCATTGGGCTCCAGGCCCTGCACCAGCTCTGTTGCCCTTCTCTGGCCCCGCTCCAGCACCAAAATGTCTCTCTTGTAGTGAGAGGCTCAGAACTGAACGCAGGATTCGAGGTGCGGCCTCACCAGTGCCCAGCATAGGGAGATTATCATCTTGCAATACCAGGTAATATGAGTTCACCCACTGAAAAATCTGATAGTTGTCCTGAAGTAGTTTTACCAAAAATTGTTTAGCTTCCTATTTTATTCCGTTGGAGTCTTTCTACTCTTTTTGCTGTTGTACAAGCTGGGGAGAAGTGCATTTCAGCTCAAGGTCTATCAAGGGCAGCACAGGCCATTCGTGCTGACCTATAGTGTTCAGGTTCTTTGAATATTTTCAGACACAGACTCTGCACTTGGATTTTAAATCCCAAATTGGATGACTGGTTATGTGGGGGCTTGTTTTTTTTTTTTTTCTTTCTAGTGGCTTAATAGCGGTAACACTACACTACTGACCTTTGCTTTGTAATGCAGGTCAGTCAGTTGGAGGAGCCTTCACAAGTGCAAAATCAGCTGTGTCATCCTGGTTTTCCACTTTTACACAGTCAACCCAAAACCTTGGGGAGTGAATGACGGCTTTCCATGATGCTGCTGAATACTTCAGGTGCAGTACTTTCTCTGAGCTCTAGAAAGACCGCTCCAAATCATAGGAGTGGAGATTAACTATCCAGGACCAAAACAAGGTATATGTTGCTTGCAAGTAGACATGAAATGTTATTATTCAGCTTCTCTAGAAGTATAGAAGAATGGTGGTGTCTCCATACAATGGGATGGCATTTCCAATATACTGGTTGTATTGAAAATGACTACTTTCCTTTCAAACTGAGCCTTTATAAAGACATTAGCAAACAGGGCTTGTGGAAAGCCAAATGTGTTTGACTTTAGATTTGTACATTTTCTTGGATGTTGAAAATATTTATGTAAACTAGTTATATTTTTCAATCCAAATAGCCAAATGTTGATGAATTCTTGTTAGAAATACGCAGAGTATAAATACTGTTTCCTCTTTTGGGTTGGACTTGAGAAGATCTCTGCAACAAGTATACAACGGGAACCCTCAAAGGGTTCCTTCCAAGCCAGGTGGAACTTTTCACCTGCAAACTAAAATCAGAAGGGTGCAGAGTAAGACTGTGGCTTACTTAAGGGGTTTATTTTTCCCTTTATCCTCTGTACCTGTGTACAGTTGTTTGCATTATTCCAGCTCTCTCTGTCCCCAGATCTGTGTGACAGTGGTGAAATCAGTATTTTCTTGACATCATGCAGTAAGCCTTCATAACTTTGCATATGTTTTGGCTGTGTTTTTACCCTGGAATGTAAATGGAATTCCAGTTGGCAAGATCTCTTTGGGAAAAGGATTACAAAACAATTCTCCCAAATTGGGATTGGATCATAAGACAGTTTTGTGAGGTCTTGCTTTATGGCAATGTAATTACACCATCAGTGTAGTTACATACATACGAACACAACGTATTAAACCTGCCTAAACCTACACCAGTAGCAAACTGTGTGGCTTTTTTAACCACTTTTTTTTTGTTACAGTAAAGTTATGAAGACTCTTCCAAATGAAAATCAGCTCTGTCGATTTTCTGTGCAAACTCAGGGAATGTTCTGTTTGGATTGCTACGTTTTTCATAAGGAAAGTAACACTAAAATTGAGAGAGGAACTGAAATGGTTCAGTTCGTATCCTTGTGTGAAGAAATGTCATAGTTTATATGAAAAGATGTGGCATAATGCTGTATTTTGTATGCAATATGCATGAGGTGTCTTCTATATGCAAGAGTTTTCCCACTTCCTCTCTTTGTGTGCCTCTTTATGCCTTCCAGCATCCCCACATGAGAGCTGTCAACATTTTCTACATTACATTATCAAATGTTCCAACTTTCTGTAGTAAAAGGCTCTTGGTTTATTGCCTCGTCAGTGTCTGTCAGCATTTTGCCATGGTCTTTTCTGGGGCCAAGATTTCAAGTCATGGTTATTTCTTCTGTTCCTCAAATAAAAGATAACAGCTGTACAAGAGGTAACCCAGAAGGCTTGAATGTAATTTGTTTTAAGAATTGAAGTTCTGGTTTCCTTAGGTGCATTTGAGAAGCCAACAGAAAAGCCACACTTGTATCACTGTCCAACAATTTAGTTTTCAGTTTTATTGCTTCAAACAGCAATTTGAAAACATGGGGTCTGGTTTAAAGCCTTCATGATTTTTTTTCCAGGACTAACTAGATAGAATGGCTGTGGAAAACCTGTGAGTGTACAGCTAGTATGAGTAGTTTCATTTGAGAAGGGCAAAAAAGGCCTCTAAAGCTCTACTAACCTACTGCCTCTGACATACAAGTAAAACGTATTTATAGAACTGCTGCAACTATTGCTCCTGGTCTCTGTGTGTATTTGTGTATATCCTGAAACTCCTGATGCTTTTGTCTGTTTTATTCTACAACTCTGTAACAGAGAGAATAGAATTTATATCTTTTCAAAGACTAAGTAATACTTGATAGGCAGGAAGACCTCTGGTGAAGTAAGACTGGAGCTGAATTTATCCATGATGAGTCTGAAGCGTTCTGATTCAGCATGCAGATAAGAAAATACTCCAAAATAATCCCTTGCTTTTGTGAAATAGCTAGCACATAATCTGCTCTCTGGGGCTTAAGTGGTCACGCTTCATGTTGTAATGAAGACTGAGGAAAAATGCATAAAGGATTTAAGCACTTATAAAAGTAACTGCAGCAACTTAGGCCACACTGGGTAAATTTAGGCTTAGGTGCTCACAATAGTGAGTTCTAGGAGCCAGGCAAGTGATTGGTATTTCCATGTACAAGGTACAGAAGTGGGACCTTCAAGGATGCCTTTTCAGTATCTTTCTCATCCTCACCTGAGTTTTTATGTAGAATTCTCCTGTGCCCCAAATTTGTATAGCAGATTTGTTATTGCTATACAATCTGTTATTACCCTGCATTCCCCTTACTCCCACAGACTCCCTTGCTGGTCCAGGGATATTAGGAATGATATTAGAAAGCTGACCTGTTTTTTGGCTGTTGTTTTGTTTTGGTAGATGGGTCTGAGGAAAGGCAGAATGAGTGCCTCTGCAGTGCTAAGGTGATACACAGCTGCTTGTTGCTTTGCACAGGGACTCTAAACGATACTTCACAGTGTTTCTCTTATGGACAAGAAGATTGAGGCAGATCTTTCTCTGCGGTCTTTTTCCCATTGTCCCAGCTGTCTCTGTAGAGCCAGACACACAACCTAATTTAAGAGTTTTCTGTTCTTCACAAATGATAGAATAAGAAACTTGTATCCATTTTCAACCTTTTTAAGAACTATCATGATGCTAGCAAGTCAGGCTGTGATTTTTAAACGCATACAGTGATGAAGAGCATGCAGCAGGTGGAGATGAAATGATTTTCATAATAGGTGGTCTTCATTAATGTGTTCATTTGCTCTTTGACACATGTTGAACTTACTTTTGGGCAGTAGGGAGGCATGTGGTCACTGAGGTTCCCCTAAACTCATGTAGTCCTCTTCTTACTAACAGTTGTAATCTCTAGTTAAATCCAATGCAAATGCAACTTATTTTCTTCCCCTCTGTTTTCAAATGTCCAATGCAAGCATTAGTTTTTAGAAAGATTTAGGCAGTTAATTTCCCTTTTAAAGACCCTGCCATCCATTTCTGCCCTGCAAGGAACACTGAGCCCTACATCAATTGCTGATAGTGCCTCTAATAAGTCAACTGTGAAGCTGTTGTTACAGCTCTGCCATGACGTATGTTGCAAAGGTATTTCTGGCTGATGATGTGCAGCGTGAAATCACTTCCAGGTACTCCAGTAGCACACCTCTCAGATCCCCAAAACCCACAACACTAAGTATTGTTGACCTAATATTTCATTTCACTAAAAGGTTCAGCACTTCTCATCAATCATTTTTATGATACAACCTTAACCCCTGTGCACATCTGACACCGGTTCCCTCAAATATCACAATGTGATGATCAGTTTTAGATCAGTGTTCTAGTACATTGCACTTGTTTGACCTTGTACGTGTTTTAAGCACCTTTGTAATGAAATTGAGTCTTTTGCCTAAACAAGCTTCTGATTTCCATACCAATTACTAAGCAGAGCAACTAATGTGGCAGTATTTAATGATGAAAGTGAAGGCATGAATGCAGTTTTTAAACATAAAAACTGTTGTTTGATAATGAAACATTCAAGTAATGTATTGGATTTTTTCTTGTCCTGCTTGAAAAATAAATACATCCAGCCTGTTTAAAGCTCTGTCTGCTCAAAAAGCTGTATTATTTTAAGAACTGAATCCCACCAGACTACACTTGCAGGCATCTAGTGTGATACTGATAGCCGCTTGTTTTAGGCTGGCAGTCTAGCTTGTCTTCCACTTAAACTGATCATGCTGTTGCTCCTTGCAAATGTAGGACAAGAGGATCCTCGAGTGTGATTTTTGATTCCCTGTTGGGTATTGCTCATTGTGAATTGATTAAAGCCTTCAGTAGGTCACAGAGCTCTCTCGCATCAGTGAGAACTTCAGGTACAACTACAATGTGGATGTAGATTTAGCTTCACATTAATACATAGTTCATGGGGATTGTGACATCGAGTGAAAACCAGGGGGCTGAGTAAATGAAGTGCTGCACATCCAGTTCTCTGCCATCGTGAGCTGTTTTAAAACATGGTAACTTCTACTTTTGCTGTCCCTGTCCCTAGCTGAGAATGACCTGGTAAATTGCTGTAGGATCAAACTGCCTCCAGTAACACTGGGATGTGAATTGGATGGAGCATGTGTCTAGAAAAGAGTTACAGTTCTCCAAAACGTGTTAAAATGTTTCAGACCATGTGCAAGTTGTTGTGCAAACACACTGAAAGAGAGACCTCCATTATGTTGTCAATGTGGTGCCATTTGACTTTCTTGCAGGTATTTAGTTTGCTTTCAAAAGGGCAACATGGAGAGTACTGATTAAAGGCAGAAACACTCCATTACTGTACTGTGATTAAAGATGTCTGACAAATTGCTTTGTGGTGTTTGGAGTCTTTAATACTGTAGGAGAGAAGAGACTGGCTTAAAGAAAACCAGTACAGAGCTTTAGTTCTGTGATGTTTCTGGTCTCGGCCCCTTTGTTTATCACACAGTAGGAGTAGTGCTTGGATCCATAAAAAGAAGTTAAGTAGTGACCCTTACTCAGGTTACTTTATTCCCCCTAATTTGACAGCTGTGTGTGTGCACCATCTATACAGTGGTGGAACTTGGAAATCAAGCTGTCTTGTTGAGTCCTTCTGTATAGGTTTGGAAGTGCCTGATCGTACACTGCTCTTCTTGTAATACTATACCAAAATCAACTGATAAAAAACAAGGTTTTTTGTTACTTCCCTGCCTGAATGGACTAATGTTGGTGAAAGCATAATTGCTGTTTGCTTCAATACTAACAGAGAAATCCTACACAAACTTTTTGTCTTCAGCTAGATCACCAAGAAGGGCACACTGCTTCCTAGAAAGAATATTTAGACTGAAGGAAGACCAGTTATCTGAAGTGAGGGCAGATACAGAGGTGGGGAATAACATCACTTGCATGCTAGATGAAACAAACGGGAAATACTGAAGGAGTAAACTTGGTTGGTCCCTCTTATCTCTGAATTCAGAGACTTTATGAAAAGCACAGAAGCACCATGGAGAATTCATGAGTTGAGGCAAACCAGAAAGTCAGAATATAACGCTGAGCGTAATGTGTTGTCTAATATGACCTGTGGTTACTGACCTTTGCTGCTCTGAATTGTGTGTCTATGCATTTTGATGTGTGTAATGCTGTGCTGAAAAGCTGGCTGAAGAGTACGTCCACTCTTAAATGGTATTCTTCAGTACGAACACGTGCTCAGAGGTAAGTCAGCAAGCCATAGCTCTTGCAGTGGCTAAATAAAACCTCAGTGTCAGGATCTAGCTTGACGTTTGTCACATCAGCTGAATAGATTCTTAAAGCCTGCATTATATCACTACCTTTTTATTGTCTTACCAGCTCTTTGGTCGTATTCTGCAGTAGAGTGCGTGTCTGTATTCAGTACAGTGTTTCAAGAGATGAAGTCATGTAACATTTGAGGTGACCAGTCCTAGTAAGGAGTGGTGTGTGTATGCTTAAACACTCCCTTTACTGAAACGAAGCTACCTGGAGTCTCAAGTTAGACCAAGACACATAAGAGCTGTATGTTTTAGAGCAGGAGGTGAGAAAAGTACATGCTTTTATTACTCTTTCACCTTCATGCCTGTCTTACCTTCTCCGTTAATCCTTTCTTTCCAGATTGGAATTTAACCCTGTACTGACCCAGGTGTTGCTGGCTGTGAGTGATCCCTGCATTTTACTCAGGCTGCTAGTACTCATCCTCCAGGTTACAGGTTCTGTAAGAACTGTGCCTTCCTGCATTGTACTCCGGTTGTAGGAGGGAGATAATCTTAAAATACTTCTGGAGTGAATCCAAACAGAACTGGGTCTGGCTAATGTTAAGCATGAAGTGGAAAGAAACTGGTTTTAAGGGTGAGTCTGCCTAAATTAAAGCTCCTTTCATGTAGGAATCCAGACCAAAAAGAAAACAATGTTAAGGTAGCTGTAAATGGGAAACAGAGGAAGGAAAACACCAGGCTGCTGCTGATGCTTCAGGCATCACAATGGCTTGTCCACATGTTCCATAGTACTTCAGTGGGGCAGGTGCTAGTGCAGTGGAACAGAAGCACTGAGAAGTGACATGAGAAACATGAAAAAACAAAACTTCAGAGTTTTATCAAATTATTCCTCCCCACCCCTGTGATCCTGTTCTCTGTAAAGCTTGACACAATTCACTGCTCTAGACCTGACTGGTCCCCTTAGAACAAAAGTTAAACTTGCCATTAGGTGTGTATTTAAACAACTGCAAAAAACAAGGGGATGCATTAAAAATAAGCAGAGGCCAGACTGCTTCCTTTTATCACTTCAGGTGGGGGGAAACTGAAACTCTGGGGGACTAACTTAAAGGAATTCCACCAGAAAAGCAGGAAGTTTTCTGCACTTACAGCCAAGTGTGAGGACATACAGAGTATATTCTTTGGAACTTGTATGTAAATGTACTCCAAAGCCAAGCCCAGGCTGGTATTAGGGTGTAGCTTTGTAGTAAAATGCTAGTTTAGAACTCTGTGAAGGCTTTGATAGTATTTGCTCCATTCATTAAATGAGAGCTGTATTTTTCAGCTGTTGTCTTTCACTCTATGACCAGTGCCCATCTCCAGGCACATGCCAGCATTTTGCCTGCACAGTTTCCTTCTCCAGTTATGTAAGGAAAGAACTGAGACTTGAGAATAGCACTTCTCAGCTGTGTTTTCCGCTGGGGTTGAATACTGACTGCAACAACTAGTTTTATAAGCAACTGAGGCAAGAGCTAGTGTGTCTTGAATGGAGTCACTACAGAACTGTTCAACACTTGACTAGTTTAAATACTGTACAAATAATAGTAAATTAATTCACAATAAGGTATTACATCATCTCAGACCATATAAAATGAAAATAATAGCTAGAACAATAT